AGGAGGCCTGAAAAATCAGGAATTTCCAGCCCACGCTACGCAGGAGATGAGCAGAGTCAAACCTGTTGAGTTTGACGCCTCTGATCAGGAGCAGATTTTGGGGTGAGAAGGGAGCAAAGCTGCGGTGGCACCATTGGGACGGAACCTCGAGGTGCCCTGTGGGTGCCTGCCGTGTGTGGGTGTTACACACGCCCTACTCCCAGGTGTAGCCACTACTCGGAGATTCTTTCCCGGTGTCGATAGCGGTGCTTTCCCCTGCTTGGGGCTGCCAAAGCCCAGAGCAATCCTCAGGGAATTATTGCCAGCAGGAGGATTTCTGGGCACCCATCAGCAAAGTCTAATCCCCCTGCTCTAACCTGGCTGGCATCGCTGGCAAGGGCAGTGTGGAGTCAGCAGCAGCTGGGAATGCAGGATGGGAGAAGACATCCAGAAAGAGCGAGGCAAGAGCTGCAGAGCAGGGAAACAAAGCCGTGCCCACCCTGCGCCGGGGTGGCAGTGCCAGTGCTCCCGCCGGCTGCTGCTGGAGGGTGCCGGGCACCCATGGGTGCGGCGCTGGGAGCGGCGCTGTTGCAGAACGCAGCCAGATTGGCCAGCAGATGGTACATCCCACTCTCGGAGAAATATTTGAAAGGGCAACAAAATACAGCAGAAGCCATTTGACAGCCCACATGGCTCGGTAGGAATTAGCCAAAGCGGCTCCGCTGGCAGCGCAGCCAGCGCCGGGCAGAGCCGGGGCTGCGGCGTGGGGAGCCACCCAAACATTCCCAACGTTTCCTGCTGCTCCTTCCTCTCCCCATGCGGCGAGCTGGGAGAGCTGCCCCAAATCCCAGAGGTCACATCTGGTTCACACAGGAGTGCCAGGCACTGCCAAATCCCTGGATTTGCCTCCGGGTCTCTGCGGGAAGAGGGAAGGAAAAGCGAGGAGAGGAGAGGAGAAGAGAGGAGAGGGAACACAGGGACTGGCTCCCACTGCCAGGGGGGATCTGGGGATGGAATTGCTGGCACAGGGTGCCCAGAGCCAGCTGAAAACATTCCATGAGTGTCCTCAGTGTGCCTGGCAGGGGTTTGGCAGCGCTGGCACAGCCTCTGTGGCACCTCGGGTGGCAGAGCAGGAGCAAGATCCCTGTTTGCCTTTTCCCTCTCCGCTGCCCACGAGTGCAACCCGGCAACTGCTGACTGGAACGTTTCTATTGTGGAGTTTATGCTAAATATGCATATCTTAATTGCATTAGTCAAAATAATTAGCTAATATATTTTTGCATAACGACGAGGTAAGCAAATATCACCAGAGCTCAGTGCTTCGTGCCTGAGTAAATTTGGGAAATTAATAGACTCCCAATTTCCTAATTATCTGTCTTTTATTCCAAACTCAAACAATGAAATGCTCCTGCGTTTTGTCATTTAGTTTGCACCTTGGAAAATTTTAAAGCACCTGGTTTTCCTATTTTTTTCCCCCTTCACTTTAGCAAGGAAATGGGAATGATCCTTCCTCCCTTTCCCTGTTTAAGGCATGCTGTTCCCATGCTGTTCCCATGCTGTTCCCATCCTCAGCCCATGCCCCAAGTTTGCCCCTCGTGTTTTTGGGGTGCTCAGCTGCTGTGCCAGGGCCTGTCCCCGCTGGGGTCACTTTTTGGTGGGAAGCTGAACACGTCCACAGCTCCTCTCCCAGGATTTCTGTGCGTGGCTGTGGCAGGGGAAGTGCTGCTCTCTGCTGAAGCATCCCCGTGGATGCAGACAGGGAGGAAAACAGCTCCCCACACACACACACACGAATTCTCAGGCCCAGCTGGGATCTCTCAGCTAAAAACAACAGTGATGAACCCAAAAAAAGCCCCCCCAGAGCCACCCCTCCGAGCT